CACACACACGTACCCCCACCCCAGGGCTGCCCTGCGCGAGCTGCGCGACTTCCAGACCAGTGTCAAGCTCATGGACGACGTCGCAGAAGAGTCGGTGCGTTTTGCGGTTGCTTTTTAATACGTCCCGCCCTCGTGCTCTGCGTTTGCCACAGAAAGCAGACGCAGAACCCTTTGTGATCTGGGAGTGGAGCGGTCCATGCGGCACCGCGCGGCCCGGCTTCGGGGCGGCTCGCTCGGCGTCGGGCCGACACGAAAACGCGGGCCCGATCCAGGCGCCAGAATCTGACCCTGTACCGCCGCGCGGCTCCGCGCCAACGCGCCGCAGGTCCGCGCCGCTGCGCGCGCGCACGTTGAGGCGCAGCTGGCGAAGGCCGTTGAGATCGTGCGGTCGAGCAGCAAGAACAGGGACCCCGCCCGGCTCGTGCAGGTGCGGGGCCGCCGCTCCTGGCTTGCGCTGCTTCGCTTCGCTTTGCGTTTCCTGGACGCGTGCGCACACGGGCTCCTGCTGATTCGGAGGCGGGGCGTCGGCGCGCTTTCGGCCCGGCCGGGCCGGGGCGGATGCCGCCCGGCCCAAAACCCTTCGAAGCCGCCGCCGCGCGCCTCTCCGGCGACGGCGCGCTCCCGCCACCCGCTCCACGCGCATCGCTTGACCCGCCGCAAACCACGCCGCCTTCGCCCCCGCTGAAGCCTTGAATACACGCCAGCCTCTCAAAGATCAACAAATCAACAAAAACCCTCGACAACCTCCCAGGTCGTGAGGCAGATGCTGGATTACGGCCGGAAGCTGCAGCGCTTTGCCAACGAGGACGACCTGGTGCCCGGCCTGGGCCTGCCCTCCATCCACGGCGGCGAGTGGGAGGAGGAGTCGCGGCGGAGGGACGTGGTGGAGGTGTTCCGCATGTTTGTGGACGAGGTCGTCGCGCGCGAGGTGAGGGCGCGTGCGCGCGCGTGTGTGTGCGTGTGTGTGTGTGTGTGAGTAAGTGTGTGTGTAGAGGTCTACTGCTGCTTGTTTGTGGACGAGGTCTTCGGACTTGAGATGCGCGCGCACGCGCGCGCGTGTGTGTGTTTGTGTGTGTGTGTGTGTTGGGGGAGGGCCATGGCACGCCCATCACGCCGGGGTGTGTTTGTGTTTTGGTACGGCATTTGTTTGCGTGTATGTGTGGGTTGTGTATTTGTGTATGTTCTAGGGGGTGGGGGCAGGATAACAGGATAGCAGGAGGGTAGAGCCCGTGTGACTGGGGGTGAGCCACGTGGGCGTTGGCCACTGACATTGGGGTGGAGTGGCACGTGGGCTCAGGGCAGCGTGCCTCTCACCCCCCCCCTCGTGCCGTGGCACCAACCACTGGCCAATGCCCGGGAGCCGGCGTCGTGCGCATGCGCGCATCGCTTGGCGGTGGCAAAGCCGTGCGGCCATCTCGAGGTCAATCAACTCATTTGCGCCGCCTCCCCGGACCCTTTGCGAGGCGCCCCTCCCGACCGAGGCTCACCCTCCTCGACTCATCGGCGCGCTCCACTCCTCATTTGCAACCACCCGCGTGCCCTCCCTTCTTTTCTAACCAGACTGTCTCCTCAGATTACCAAACCCTCTCCCTTGAAAACCCCCCCCCCCCCCCCCAAAAAAAACACTCATCCCTGAAAACAACGCTCCCCCTTGAAC